GCCCTCACTCCCCATCCTAGCGCCAAAGTCAACCCTGCCCTCACTGCAATGGGGCCCACTCCTGCCTCCAAGCGCAGGAGCCACCCCCACACCCCGACCAGGCCTACCCCCCAGTGCTGGAGCTGCCCCCTCCTGACCCCACTCCTCCCCCCTGGCCTTGGCTCACGTAGTTCTGGTAGATGAGCTGGGCATATTTGAGGCGCAGATCTTCCACCCCGTCATTCACCATGTCCAGCAACGCCGCCTCCCGCTGGTCCTTTCCGTAGAGCCCTGCCAGAGCAAGAGCAGCCATCAGCAGGGGGAGACCTCCCCCTATCCCCAGCCCTGCCACCCGCTGGTCCTGCCCCTGGAGCCCTGCCAGAGCGAAAGCGGCTATCCGCCTGGGGAGACCTCCTCCTCCCATTCCCCTCCCCACACCTGCTCCCTACACCCAGCCCTGCCTCCCCAGGCTCCTTCCCATATAGCACTGTCAGAGGAGAGCTGTGGCCAGCACAGGGAGCCCCCCTACACCCAGCTCCCCCCAGCTGCCCAGTCCCTCCCTCCCCCAGCCGTACCATAGGTCCTGGCCAGGTGCCGCAGGAAGGCGTTGGACTGGTACAGGGTTAAGTCGCCATCCCGAAACTTGGGCAGCTGCCCGAACAGCTGCAAGGAGCACAAGGTGAGGAGTCACAAGCCCCAGATTGGGCCGACAGGGTGAGGCCGTGGGACGGACGGACGGACAGACACAGCAGAGCAACCACCTCAGCGGGGCAACAGCAAGATGGGCCAGAAAGCCATCGGGGGAGGGGACTCTGAACCAGTGCTCCAACCTCTGCTGGGATCCCCCTCCTCACCCCGCCAGGGGGTCATGCCTCCCCCCCCCAAGGGTTCCCCCACACCTGCCATCTCCCCCGGTACCCCCTCCCCACTCCCATGGGGTCACATCCACAATCTCCCCTGAGATGCCCCCCCACCTCCCCTGGGATTCCCCCATCCCCACAGGGTCACTTCCCCCCCATTCCCCAGCAGGGGATCTCCTCTCCTACCCTCCCCCGCAGGGTCACTCCCCCCACTTCCCCCACTCCGGGACACCCCCCGCCGCTCAGTGCCAGCCACCCCCAGGGGTTTCACTCACACAGGATTTCTTGAGCTCTCCCTTCTGCCACAGGTCCACGGTCACTACATCCTCCTGCCACTCCTGCCCCTGGTCGGTCAGCAGCATCCGCACGGCCTCGCAGCGCCCTGCGCCACGGGATGGGCAGACCCTCACTGGCTGTCCCCGGGCACAGACAGACCCCCTCCGGCGCCCCCAGCAGCCCTCCTGGGCATGGACAGACCCCTCCAATCCCATCCCCCCCCGCAGCTCCCCAGGGCACGGGCATCTCCATCCTCCTCACCACCCAGCCCCCGGGGTCATGGACACCCCTGCCCCACGCCGCCCCCCCCCCCATCACCCAGTCCCCACAGGGCAGAGATCGGGCAGAACAGACACCCCCAGCCAGCGCTGCTCTCTGCACCCAGGGCACCAGTAGAGCTAGAGGGGACGGGGGTTGCTGAGGGAGCCCAGGGCTGGGGTAGCAGGGGCTATAGGTCAGGAGTGAGGGGCACCGGCGGGGCCTGGGGGGGGAGAGCAGGGGCTGCGGGTCGGGAGTGAGGGGCACTGGCAGGGCCGGGGGGAGAGCAGGGGTTGTGGGTCAGGAGCGAGGGGCACTGGCAGGGCCTGGGGGTGGGGGGAGCCCAGGGCTGGGCTAGCAGGGGCTATAGGTCAGGAGTGAGGGGCACCGGCAGGGCTGGGAGGGGGGAGCCCAGGGCTGGGCTAGCAGGGGCTATAGGTCAGGAGTGAGGGGCACCGGCAGGGCTGGGAGGGGGGAGCCCAGGGCTGGGCTAGCAGGGGCTATAGGTCAGGAGTGAGGGGCACCGGCAGGGCTGGGAGGGGGGAGCCCAGGGCTGGG